AATTCACTCCCCAGAAATTTGGAAATGGCATTCACACTGGAACCTCAAATACAAACATTTCAGAGTATTAGGCTGTCAACCTGAGGACAGTGTAATGGATTTGGAAAGAGTTGAATGAGTCTAATGGTGATTATGAAGGTGTTTGGAGTGATCACTAGTGATAACAATGTTATGCCCTCATTCATCTTCACACAAGGCCTCAGCCTCAACACAGAGGCCTACATCAAGTGCTTTGAAGGGGTAGAGCTGTGCTGGGTGAAGAGGTTGGCTGCTGGAAGACACTATGTCTGGCAACAGGACTTTGCACCATGCCACACAAGCAGGAGAACACAGTCATGGCTGTCAGACAATTTCTGCAACCACATCACCCCTTAAATCTTGCCACCTAACTCCCCAGGCTGCAACCCCCTTGATTATTATGTGTGGGGTACAGTTGAGCAAGAGACCATCAAAACTCCTTGTAACACCAAAGAAGAACTGAAGGCAAGGATTATGGTAACATTCACCAACTTAAACAGGGAGACCATCCAGAACAGTTGCAGGAGATTGTGAAGTCACCTGGAGGCTGTAGTTGAAGCTAATAGCAATTTTATTGAATAAATTTACTCGTTCTTGTTTCAAAATATTTTTGTGTAATTTTGGTAAATATATATGTTAAAATAATATGTCAGTTTTATTTTCATTTTTGCACAATTTAGACGACAATTCATCCATCACACCCTATATAGAGAGGGAGAGAGAGGGGGAGGGAGAGAGGGAGGGAGAGAGAGACACTGAGGTCAACACCCAACATTGACAATCTGTTTCATGCTTAAACGTAATCAGCAGAACATGGCCTGACAATTGTGATTTAATACAAATCAGACTGCAAGGCCCCTGATTGAAAGGTTTTGAGGAGCATAGAACCACCTCTTAATTGTTGTTGTTCCCAGGTCCACGCTGACCCGGGGTGGTAGCACCTTTTAGGGTCCCAGCTATGGACAAATAACCATCAAACTGGGGTCAAAACACTATGAAAGTTTAAAAATAGATTTTTATTGTGAAAATACCAAAAATACATTTTTGGGAAAATGCATGTTCTATTCATATGAATCTATCCTAAAAATATTGTCAGCATTAAATAACCTATTGAGACTGATATGCCATAAAATAAACCAAACCAAACCTGATGTTGAACACTTTAACCTATAAATATAGCATACCTTAAAACTATATTTTTATCATATATATATAAATATATATAATTAGTAGTAGTAGTAATCTTATAAGTATAAGAAACTATACTCGTTCAGAAAACCTTCAGTGTCTTGGTTTCCAAATAATCAAACCAATACCAAAGGGGAAAAAAGGTATAAAAAAGAAAGAACCAAGAACATGTACATTAGCCAAAAATAATTGTCTAGCATGCAGGTCCAAAGCCCAAAGAAAAAAACCCGATAAGAGTACGCAAAATAACTAAATAAAGTGCTCAATACAATAAGTAGTGCAGACTAACTAAATAACTAACTAATATATATATATATATATATATATATATATATATAAAGAGAGAGAGAGAGATAGCATTGATTAAGCAGCAAAAGTGAAATTGAGTCAGATGCAAAGCAAGAAGTAAGGATTATAGATGGAGCAAAAGGTTGATTGAAGTAACAAATGGTTAACAAAGGCGACCAGACAGAAGATAAAGAGATGAAATAAAGTGATTTGCTGGTAAGATATGACAATCGTGGTCATAATGTAATGATTTGGAAAATACAATAAACTAACACTGGCCACTGCTGATAGATGATCATTATGGCACACCTTGTGATTCTGACATTTACTCATTCAAGTATACTGTAAGAATTTTTTCACTTTAATCCAGAAAGCAGTGGAAACCACTGATTGCATGTGACACTTAGAGATTACAATCTTTAGAGAGCTGTCAAAATAGATGAGAATGGCTATTCATTACATTTAATGAAACATGTTTACAAGAGAAACTTCTGACTAAATATGTTTTTTTTTTTACTATATCATTCTTGTGAACTTTTATGAGTTTTTACTGAGGTAAAACTTAAATTTTTGTTTATTTGATATCAGTAAAACTCAAAGAATGTCATAATTTATAGAAAAAAATATATTAGCTGAAATGGTATTTTTAAAAGATAAATGGTTTTCTTGAAAAATCATGCTGTATGGCCTTCATCCTCAACCAACAACTGATAGAACAGTTATTTGGGGGGTCAAATCTTCGGAGCTAACTCTAAGCAGTGGCGGACCTATATTTTGGCAGCTCTAAAGCTATAACAAATATGGGGACTCCTTCACAACTAGCAACAATAGATTCAAGGCTCTAAATTTCGGCTATGAATAGATTCTGGCAAGCCCAATGAGCCTATCCAGCTGGGTGTTCAGGCACTTCAATCCTCTTAGGAAATTTTGAAATTTTTTCAATTACAGGGTAATTTTGAGGCCATATATAATTGGTATTAGAACATATTAGCTACTTCAAACAACTGGCTTATGATTCTATTACTAAAATAGCCTTATTTTAATAACAAACACTTTTTTTAAAAAAAAAAACTGATTTTGTTGGAAAATTCACTCATTAAAAAACTTTGCTTCAGGGTCCCTCTGGGATTAGGGGCCCTGAAGCTAAAGTAGATCCCTCACTGACTCTGAGAAAAATGGCCTACATTCATGCACAATATCATTACCTGCCTGTGACATGATCACCCTCCATTAAAATTTCCAACAACTGTTCATACCTTTCTAAGAAATATTTGAAGGTGACATGAGCAACTTTAATGCGAATTTGATTTTGTTCTTTGTTCCATTTTACCTTCACTCTGAATATCAAAGTTTCCTTGCAAAATTATATCTTCAAAAACAAACATGGGACAGAGACACTAAAACTAACCAGAAAGACTTGAAGGTGGAATATGATTTGAGGAATGTGTAAGTCATTTTTTTAAAATGCTTATCTTGATTGTCATACTCAGATTTCAGCCATTGTACCCTCCAACTTTCAGTTGTCTATCTTCATGATTGGTAACTTTTGTGGTGATTACCCCCACTTGTTTTGCTAAGATGCCATCAGGTGACACTGTTTAAGGACTATAAAAGAAGGAACACAGGTTTCCTCTATCCTCATGTCAACCTAACTGCATCAATTCACTCTTTGTCCATGCTGGAGATAATCTTTCCTCTGAGTATTTGAACTTTAATATGCACATTCATATCACACACAACTGCCAAGCACTCACTCATGCTCACACACACACAGTTTCCCAAAATTGTAATTTTTTGACAATATATTGTTTTTATTTTAAACAAAAAATGTTTGTTTATTTGTTCATCATTTCTTTATTCAATCTAAAGCAGTGGATTGAATAAAGTGTTGCATTTAAAATTCACTAAAAACTAGAGGTTACAATCACCAAAGTTTGTCAACATTACAGCCAAGATAAACATCTTAGTCTGAATAGCAAAGCATATAATAATAATAATGGTTCATCTAAAAATTTCCAATAAAAATAATAAAAGCCAGACTTGAGAGTACAACAGCCAGAATGTTGTGAGTATAACAACCAAAATGAGCATGCTGGTTCAAATAGCAAAACATCTAATAATTCCTCATTTAAAAAGTTTTGACATGAATAATGAAAGAAGGCCAAAGAGTACAATGGCTAAAATGTTGTGAGCATAATAACCAAAATAAGTATTCTGGTCCAAATAGCAAAGCATATAATAATTCCTTATTTAAAATGTTTTGACATGAATAATGAAAGAAGGCCAGAGAGTACAATGGCTGAAATGTTGTCTGCATAGCAACCAAGGCAAGCATGATGTCCAAATAACAAAGCATATAATAATGATAATTCCTCATTTTAATAATTCTGATAATAATGTATTTTATTATTTATTAGGGGAATCATTGTCAATTATTATTTTTTTACTTATATTTACATCAGTTTTACATCAGTAACTAGACAGCAAAGATTGGAATCTTTTATTCATGATTCAAACTGTCTGCTGACTGACATAGAATTCACACTCTGTGCAAAGTTGTAGTAAAAAAGGTAACTGAAAATTGATATGAAAAGTAAGCAACAGTCAAAAAATTTAATAATAATGGTTAATAAGGTTTTTGCTCTTTCATAATATTCAAATGTTGATTCTTATTCTTTCATGTTTGCCTTCAGTCATTTTAAAGGAATTCTTGTGTTCACTTGCAGAAATGTAATTGTGTTAAAGAGACAAAGATAGAATTAGTTAGTCAGAAAGTCTATACAGATGTTGTAATTTTATATACAGATGATGTCTAAATGATCATCTTTATACAACCATTTCCTATGATCAATGATTAGAAAAGGCTTCAAACAAATTAATCCTATAAATCTTAATGAAGACAATCATTCATCAGATCCTATAGATTGGCACCAATAAATCACAGAGTTTTACCAAATAACAAAAACACATCACTTGCAGATTTCCAATAGCAACAACAGCACATAAGTAAAAGAGAAAATAATAATATAATCAAGATGTCAACTTTCCACACCATCAATGGATGGGAAGGATGGGTTTTGGAAGGAAATTCACATCAATATTAAAAACAGAAAATAGCAGAGAACTATATATTAGAATAGTAGAGAACTTGAGAAGTATAATTTCCTGAAAAACTCTTTTAATAAAAAGATACATTAAATTTCAACAGTAGCACTTACTGTTCGGTCAATGGATGCTCAATATTTTCTGTATGCAAATCATTATTTTTACAGTTACCTAAATATTTCTTTTAAAATATACAAGGGGCTGTTGAAAAGTTACCAGCCTAACCAAAAAGCCTTTTCCAAAAAAAAAAAAAAAGCAATGAAATCAGATACTTAGTCATTCAGTCAGATTTTATAAATTTGGTTTGGCTGAGAACTTCTCAGCACCTCCTTGTACAATATTGCAGTTCACATGAAGTAACAATTACTAAACTGATAGAAATATTTTCTTATCTTTTACAGAATGATGATTATAAATTATTGGGTGTTGCAGGAACAGATGTCCCAATAGAACAAATCTATAATTTGCTTCCAAAACATGCAGTGAGTATAATTGTTGATTTGTGACCAAATTTGTCTATATTTTTGTATTTCATCAATCTCTTTGATGCATACATTAGGATATATAATGTAATAAAAAAGCAATCAAATTTCACCCACTGAAATTCAATAAAACAATATATTTTCGGTGAATTAAGAGAAGCAAATAAAGCATGTGAAAGAGAAAACCTTTCTGCTGTAATGATCGATTCTCACAATCACAACATTTTGCACTGACTTCCACTCTCTGCAGTTTTATGAAATATTTCTTCATTCTTGATATTTAATAATGATATACATTCATTTACACAAACACACACTCATACACACATATTAGGGCAGGTTGATTTTTCACTTTTTAAAAAAAAAAACATCATCGCACTTGATGCGAAATCTGAGGTTTGATGTGATACCTACTGACACCAAAAATTAGATTCATATAACTTGCATCAATTTCTGAGTATTTAGTTTTAAAGATCGTCTGAAAAAAATGTACAAAAATACCTAATTTCCACAGGTTTTCACTTACAAACTGACTTCAAATTTTACTATTTCCAAATATTTCTAAATCCAAATAAAGTTGATATCTTTTGTATTAAATACATTGAATGGAAAATATATTCAAACTAGAATTCTGATTATGAATCACCACAAGCAAAATATACAACTTTTTTTACTGTATTTGTCTAAAAAAAAAGATAAAAGTCTATATAACACTGTAATACATTTGGGCACAAATTATAAAACAAAATATTTTAAATTTGCATTGTTTATTGAAAATCACACTAAAACTCTAGAACTGTATAACATATTACATCATAATATAGCTAAATTGTTAACTATAATTTCCCTTTGAAGTAAATGAAGGTTTTATTTGATGGTACACTGCTTTAGCAATGTGTTTATGCCATGCATCTTGTCCACATACAATTTGTCAAGCTTCAGTAAATTATAAATTTTATAAGACTGTGCTATAAGGCATTCATTGATCACCAAAATTAAATTCCAACACTAGGATTTTGAACTTAAATGTACTCTTTAAATTTGTTTCCTTAAAAAACGGTAATGATTTGAAAAAAATATTTTTTGTCTTTATTTGTCATGTGAAACTGAAACTTTCAAATTTAGTGCAATACCAGGGATCCAAAATCAACCTAACACATTCATTCATGGGCTAATACCCTTGGGAAAGGTATGAATCCATCTCTTCTCTCCAAAGCTATGGGTAGATAGCTGGACAGACTGGGTTCTATAGCTTTGGGTGGCAACTGATCTTGGAGAAAGACAATTATGAATTCAAAACCTGTGGAGGTTTGTTTGGTTCTCTCCAGCTATTGGTAAATAGCAGGAGAGATTGGGTCCTATAGCCTTGAGTAGTAACCAGTCTAGGAGAAGGAATTGAAAACCTGAGAAGGGTCACTTGAGGTACAGATGATATCTTCAACTGTCAGTCAAGTACTTGGAGAGGAGGAAGAACTTTGGTAAATTTAATGATTGTATAAGACAACTAATTCAAAAATTTTAAACAGTTAATAAAAAATTGTTGATATTACTCAACAAATATATATATATATATATATATATATATATATATATATATATATATATGAAGGTAGCAAGAAGAACTGACAGGGTCAGTCTGTTGAATTTTTTATTGTATTTTTCCAATGTTTAAATAAGGTGTTGAGTATTGCAATTGAAACTGTGGCTAAATTTTCCAAAGTTCATATTGTGTTGTTTTGTTCAAGTACTTTTGACAATCTTAGTTATTTTCAAGAACCAATGTGGTTTCTGTGTGGTAGGCAGAATTTCTTTATTTGCCTTCTGAAATTCTTTGGAATGTTGAAAGTTTGAAATAGACTATGGTGATGTCATGCATAATGGTTATTAGGAACAAGACCACACCACACACACATACACGTATGTGTGTGTGTATATAATAGTCATCTCCTTCTTTCCAAGAGCACCCATCTACTTTGACAGTCAGCCTGCAAATCCCTATTGCAGATGCCTGATCAAGCACATCTGTGTTTGTTCAGCACCCACAGAAACCACTTGTGCATTATACTGAAACTGTGCAGAGCAGACATGAGTTGCAGTTTCTGGGAAGGAGCACATAATCTGACATGATCACCAGTTTGATCAAGACCAGTACATTCAATCCCTCAGTCATAATGAGGTGAGACTTCATGTGAGCACAACCATCAATGGCTTCCATAAAATTCTATCTCCCTAATTTCATTCACTATGCTTTAAGAGATAAACTACATCCACATCCTGGGTAAGACAATAGACTTCATCCAACAGTAAGATATCTAATCAGAAGGTTTTCAGGAGCATGGAACCATCTCTTAATTGTTAGTGTTTCCAGGTCTACCCTGACCCGGGGTCGGTAGCACCTGTTAGGGTCCCAGCTATGGACAAATACTGAACCCCCAAACTGGGGTCAAAATACTATGAAAGTATAAAAATAGGTTTTAATACCAGCAATACATTTTGGCAAAAAGTTATTAACACAATGAATTTTTGAAGGAAAAATTATTACCAGCAATACATTTTTGGAAAAGAAAAATATTAGCACCAAACATTTTTGGAAAAAATATTACCAGCAATAAAAATCTTGTCAGCATTAAATAACCCATTGTGGTGTTGATATACCATAAAACAAACCAAACCAATCATTCACTATGCTTTGGTGAACACGTGTCATGGTTTTCAGGCACTTTCCAATGGTGCCACTTGCTAGGATCACCTCCCCAGGTTAATAATATGAAAAAGTCACATCTCTGACAAATTGACCATGGCTGGAAAGTGAACATTCAAACCACTCATCAACATACCCATAAAGTCCCCCTATGTGTGCTACTGATATTATACAACACAGTACTACATACCAGATGGTCAGGTTATGGACAAATAAACCAGTTCCCTCACCAGGCTTTTATGGTGAGGTGAGTTACTAGATATCCAGTATGATTAAAAACCAAACCTGTCAAAGATGGATGAATCCTTTCATGGGATCAACAATTGTCTAGCACAGGCATTCCTGAACACCGGCCTGGGTTGGTGTAAAGGTGCATGGTAAGCCAAATGGAAGTTTTGGACTCGTTAGACTTCGTTAAGGTATCTAAATAGGGGATATAAAACTAATTTAACACCTACAGCTTAAAAGAATTTAATGATGTTGAATAGCTCTTCGTTTTTAGTACATGTTGTTCTTGCTCAGAGAATGGGATTCATCCAGTGCGACATCTTTCACCACTTTAAAAATTCCATACAGAGGTGTAGATTTGTAAGTGATAACTGAGTCTTGCAATGATATATTGTGATGGTCATACTCATACTATCACCAAAGTTAAGCAATGTTGAGCCTGGTCAGTACCTAGATGGGTGATGTCTTGGGAATACCAGGTGCTGTAAGCTTGGATATGCGAGTAGTGTAATGGATAACGAACTGGAAATCTGAGAGCCAAGTTCCAATTTCGGTCTAGTTCATTATATTCACTTACACAAAAATACCCTTGGAAAAGGCATGAATCCACCATCCCCATCTATGGGTTAATTAGTAGAATGTATATCAGTAAAATCATTATTATATCAAAAAAATTCTTAGAATCTAAAAATACTTTCTGGTTTTAAATAACCTGCAAAAGGTTGATAAGCCATAAAAAAGAAATCAAACAATGAGGTGGCAGCCATCTTCCCACATGCACACAGATATATATAAAATATTAGTATATTCAGAAAGTAATTACATTTTACCAGAAAATTATATAAAAATGAATATAAGTTAAATTTATTTAAATAATATTTATCAAAATGTCTGTTTTCAGTGAAGAAGGCAAATTTTCAATTCCATATTTTAAGAAATCTGTTTTCTTTTTTCCTAAAAGAAGGTTGAACAGTTTGTTTTCAACTTCTTTGTTTCTGAATTTATGAAATGTTCTTGTGATAAAATTCCTCCCATCTTAACAATTTTATGTTTTTCTGACTTGCCTGAATGTATCTTTGTATTATCATGCAGGAGAACAACACCTTTTATGTTCACCAAAGTAGGAGATTTTCAACATTAGGCTTCATTTACCCAATCAAGTTGAAATAAGTATCTGCAGTAATGGTCCTTCCATGTTCCACTAGATCATAATGAACAGCACATCATATTCCGCCAGACATAAAGCAAGGACTTTTTTTTTATAAAGTTTATTTGTATCTGTATGTTCTAAATATTCTTTGATGTTTCAACATTTTCATATCATTTCAGATAGGAGTCCATGGATATGCATTTGCAATTACAAAAAAGGGATACGTTTTATTCCATCCAGATTTTCGACCTTTCGTAAGTAAAATCATTATTTTACCTTCAATAAAATAATAACTCTCTGGGATTATTTGAAGGTACATGTTATAAAACCTTACGTTTGTTAAATTTTGATTCTAAACTCTAGGCAATCCAGGCTTCAAGCACTTTACTGAGTAGGGAGGTTTTCCTTTAGTCCTTTTTTCAGTATTGTCATTTTTGATTGAGACTTTATCTGTATAAGAGTTTTAGGTTTTGGCAAATTGTCCATTGGTTCCATCAACAGTTGTTTTTCTTTTATATATATATATATATATATATATATATATTTGGTTGGATTGATGTGAGTTTGTGACCCTGGGTTTCACGCTTTTGCGATCGTCAGACAATCAGAATATGTTAGCTCTATCTCTGATATTGAGCGCTTTCTAATAAGTACCACGCATATAATATATAAATAATTATATATATATATATATATATATATATATATATCATAAGTCTATATATTCTAGTTGATTAATTGTGACTATAAAAATGTTAGTTTATTGTGTCATATGAAAAATTTTATGTTAGTTTATTACTTGTGACCATGAAAATTTACTAATGCCAATCAAGATTTATCGTTATGAAATTTTCTGTAGTTTTTATAGACACTGGATATGGTTTTAGATTATTGTTTTGAAAATTCCAAAACATTTTTAAGGCGAGCATCAATTTACAATGTAAATCTAATGCCAAATAGGACCCTTATTTTATGGTCATCAGGTATACTACACTGAATATTAATTATTTTGTTGAACTGCCTCCAATGGACACTGAGCTGGAAATTTCTTATCCAGAAAACAAAAAAAATTCAGTAAAAACTTGTTTTAAAAAAAAAAAAGCATGTACTTGAAATCTTTTATAAAATACTCCTAAATATTTGAATTAAATATAATGCAAGAGTTCATGATAATGATTTTCAAATGAAGAATTATACAATGAATACATAGTTCAAATCTATGATCTCTTATTTAAGTCAAAAAACTCTATTTACATAATATTGATAGCAGATACAGAAAGAAAACTACAGGAACTTTTAAAGAAGGTAAGAAAGAAAAGTGAGGTCAAAGAACTAAACCTCAATTGACAGAATGTCTGGTTGTTAACAAGAGAAACAACCTAAAATGTGAGATATGAATCAGAGATACCAAAATCAAGCAACTACAAAAATTTAAATATCTACGAATTATTTTAACAGAGGATGAAAACATGTGACACTGAAATCCAAAGGCACATTAGAATAGCAAAAGATGCTTTCCAAAAGCTAATCAAAGTAATAAGAAACAGAAAGATTTCATTAGAAACAAAGAAAAGAGTGCCAAACTGTTATGTAATGTCAGTCCCCCTATATGGAAAATGGAAACAAAATGGACACACTTAGAATAAGAGGGAAACAGTTGACATTTATGGGACACATCATAAGGAAAGAGGGATTGGAGAATTTTACATTCACAGGACATATTGGAGACAAGAGGGAAAGCAGGAAACAACTTACCTTGTATAAAAGGAACTGGGAGTGATAGTGAAATGATAAAACTTATCAAGAGTTACATAGAATAGGATGTTGTCCAGGTGCTGAAAGGAAACCAACATTTAGAAGACAGGAACTAGATTAAAATCCAGTCAATAAAACTAGTTTTCACCTTATATTAATTTTATTATCAAGAACACAGTTATTATTTAAGATCTTAGCAGATACATTTTTTTCTGATTAAACTAAAAACTAAGTATCTTGCCCTTTAATATGGTAACATGTCATTAATACATCATTTCTACTGACAACTGTTAATATACCATTGAATCATCTGCTAAACTTTTGGTTCTTTAAATTATGGAGAGAAAATGTCTTCACAATTCTGGAATTTATATTGGTCTATTTTTTTATATTATTTTTATATATTTTTAATGAGTATTAATAGGATGTAGAATAATGTTCCAAACAAAAGTGGAAATAATGGGACAAAGTGGAAAAGCTATTCAGACAATGTATTTCACCTCTTTACATTAGGTGTCTTCAGGTCAGAATGAGAGACAAACCCGTGAGGAAGGAACATGTATTGGAATTTTGAGGAAAAGGTAATAAAGATCCTTATCATATGCTATGGCCAGAAGATTTTTTTATATATTGAAGTGATTAATGTCTGCTGGATTTGAAATTACCCTACTCCAAAGAGATCTCTGTTTTTTGGGGTTTTTTTATCAATTCCCTTGTATACCACTAATCTCAAATCCAGCAGACATTAATAGCTTCAATATAAAAGAAAATTTGGGGGGCTATAGCATCTGATAAGGATCTTTATTTGATCTTCCTCAAAATTCCAACATATGAGTTTGCCTCTCACTTAAAGATGCATAATGCAGATGGAGTTTTCCTCTTGTCCCTTTTAATTATGTCTGTTACATTAATTAATTTCTGTACCTCTAACAGAAGTAGTTATAATATTTTTATACTTCAAACAAATATAATAAAAATAAAATTTTTTGGCAATCATGCATTTGTACATAGTATTTAAAAGAAAATTTTATACATATGAGTTCTGTGTAAGACACATTCAGATTTTCCTTTAAAAGTCCTAGATTTTCATTATTTACATTATTTGGACTATGGTCCTCATCTTTGTCACCATATTTATTACAATGTTTCGGCCATTGTATGCTCCAGCCTTCTTCAGGTGGTTGGAATGTGGAACTGAACCCTTTATTTCACTCACTGGCGTATACATATTGCACAGTGGATAAAGGCGTTAGCTAGATCCAGTGACAGGACCCAAAGAGTGTGAGTTCAATACCCGGTTAAGGCAGCAGAGAGCTTTCAGAGGGAAATTAGCAGAAGATAACTGATAACTAACAAACATGGCACTAGAATAGCCTACCCCAGTGAGCAAAATAAAGGGTTCAGTTCGACATTCCAACCACCTGAAGAAGGCCAGAGTGTACAACAGCCGAAACGTTGTAATAAATATGGTGACAAAGATGAGGACAATAGTCCAAATAATGTAAATAATGTACATAATACCTCATCTCAGAAATATAGACAGGTCCTAGATTTTATATATATCAAGTCCGAGCAGTCCTCACTCTAAATAGATGGAGCAGCTTTTAAGCCTGAATGTTGTTTGGATTTGATATATTGTAATACAGGGTGGGATGGGTAAACTGTCGCCATGTTATATTTATATACATGTTGTTTGTTTTTGTTAACTACACAGTGTAGTAGGGTCAGTTGGGCACTGTCTGTGAGAAAAAGGGCACCATAACACTTTTCCCTCCAACAGAAATTTGGAAGCAGCATGCTGTTCTGCTTGGCATTCATGCTGAAAGCTCCAATACAAATATTTCAGGGTGTTTGGGTGTCAATCTGAGGACAGTGCAGAGGATTCAGAAAGAGTTGGGTGAGTCTAAAGGTGATTACAATGTTACAGCAGCTCAGAAAACTCACTCTGTTCATTCTGATCAGAAAAGAACTCCCCAATTTGTTGGTGATGGCAAACTCAAGACAGAGGCCTACATGAAGTGCCTTGAAGAAGTAGTGTCACCCTGGGTCAAGAGGGTGGCTGCTGGAAAATGCCATGTCTGCCAACAGTACCTTGCACCATGCCACGCATACAGGAAAACCACGTCATGACTGTTAGACAATTTCTGCGACCACATCAGCCCTTAAACCTGGCCACCTAACTCCCCAGATGGCAACCTCCTTGATTATTATGTGTGGGGCACAGTTGAGCAAAAGACCAACAAAACTCCTTGTAACACCAAAGATGAACAGAGCAGAGATTATGGCAGCATTTACCAACTTAAACAAGGAGACTGTCCAGAAAAGTTGTAGGAGATTCCAAAGTTTTCTGGAGGCCGTGGTTAAAACAAATGGTGATTTTATTAAATAAATTTACTCTTTAGCATTTCAAGATATTTTCATGTAATTTTTGTAAATATATCTGTTAAAATGATATATCAGTGTTATTTTCATTTTTTGCGGAATTAGACAACAATTTATCCATCGCACTGTGTTTGTGTGTGTGTGTGTATATATATATATATATATATATATATATATATATATATATATACAAGAATAATCACACATAGAATTAATCAGAAGTATCAATGTGATTATTGGCGACATCCATCGCTAGAAAACATAATATATGCATTAAAATCCTGATCATCCATAGTGCGATCCTTGAAGAAAAACTTGTCTGTAGTTTTTCAGTTTATTTGATGTTAAAATGCTAGTACTTATGGACAGTCTTCCATCCATCATCAGGCATGTGTGTTTTTTTTTTTTTTCCTTATGAAATCAAATACTTGAGACGATATACCTGTATGTCGACCGAAAGATGTTTTTGAATATCTGCTATTATTGATGGTTGTAAGATATCGGAACATGCAAAAGATAACGCTAAGTTTTTCAAAATTTTTAAGTGAGAATTTTATTTAAATATTTTATTTTTATTAAATAAAATTATTTTTATTAAATAAAATTCTCACTTAAAAAATTTTGAAAGAATTTTATTTAAATATTTTATTTTTATTAAATAAAATTATTTTTATTAAATAAAATTTTTTTCTTCAAGGATCAAAACTCGCACTATGGATGAAAAGGATTTTAAATGCATATATTATGTTTTCTAGCAATGGATGTCACCAATAATCGCATTGATACTTCTGATTAATTCTATGTGTGATTATTCTTTGTATGTAAATCATATGCTGCCTAATGTTTTATGTTTATATATATATATATATATATATATATATATTATAAAAGGCTCAAACACTAATATTCCATGGTTATAATTTATTACATTGGAATCATAATCACAATCCAATTCATCAGACCTACAAATTCAAAGAGAAAACAGAAAATATAACTATATAAAAAACAAAATTTCAGTGGAAGTGAAAAACAGGGGTGAGAGGCAAATGTATGAAAGCTCTAATGAGAGGTGTAACAGAAGATAGAAGAACAGGAAAGGCCTTAAGGTGAAGGGGGGAATTAAAATTTAAAAGAGAGAAGTTTTAAAGAGAGAAGTTAAATAACAGTTTAAGTGGGTGAGATACAGATAAATATGAGTTATTATCAGATGCATAAATCACTTCCGGTTCATTGACCTAAAATTAAAAAACAGACACTGGAAAAGTGTGGATACATTTGTGGTGACATTAGACACAATAAATGATTATATGAATCAAATTTAAAATCTAGCCAATTTACACTGCCGATGTATATATGAAAATTTATCATCTGGTTTGCATTTACTAACCTTATGCATACATAAAAAGAGAAGATGCAAGAGAGAAAGAAAAGGCCCAAGGAAAAAGAAAAGACCAAACTAAAATATAGGCATTTATAAGAGAAATAATGTGTAAATTCTTCCTGAAATAATATGTAAATTTCTCTCTGAAATTTTGTTTTTTATACCTGGAGTTATATTTTCTGTTTCCTTTCAAATTTGTAGGTTTGATGAATTGGATCGTAATTACGATTCCAATGTAATAAATTATAACCATGGAATATTAGTGTTTGAGCCTTTTATATTATATTCTTGCTCTGTCTTGTACATAGAGCTCTACCTGTATTTTATCCTCTTTGAAATATATGTATATATATATATATATATATATATATATATATATATATATATATATATATATATATATATATAGAGAGAGAGAGAGTATAAAATGTATATTGTAATATATATAATATACTAGCAGTATAACCCGCCTTCGACTGAGTCTTTCTGGGAGTTTTTGCTGTTCAATTGGAGCAGTTTAAGTTTAAAGTCAGCCCACCTGAAAATCAATATTAGTAACAACATTTGGGTGCAACCTAGGCACATCCCCAAATGGGGAGGGGGGGTTAACAATTTGAATGGTGGGGTGGCCCTGAAAAGGAAACTGTATGAAAATTAATATTATTGTAATAATTTAAACTGTTTATTTTTATTAAAGTTTTTATGAAAGATATATATCCAAGAACAGATAGTAAATAGTAAAATGTTGCTGAGAGTTATAATGGGCAGGAAGTAGTGGAGAGCCATTGTTGCCAACAATCTGCACTCTAAACCAGCACTGAAGAATTATCTATCAAACAAAAAAATTTCATTAAATAAGATGAAAACTCTGGAAGTGCATAAACAACATCTAATCACACACACACACAAACACACATTTTGAGAATTATAGTTATAGATAGTATAAAATATATATTGTAATATATTGTGCATATATATATATATATATATATACACACACACACAGGGTGTCTATAAAGTTCGTGTGCACTTTAAAAAATTTATAACTTCATTTGTATTTGCGATAGAAATAATTTGTAAAAAAGAATTAGAAAGAAGTAAATCTGTATTTTTTTAAGGTTTATTGAAATTTTATTTAAGTTTCCACATGTCCTCCATCATTAGCAATACAAAGGGTAATACAATTTTGCAGTTCATGCAAAACATTTGCCAACTGATTTACAGTAATGCCTGAAATCACATTAGTTATTTTAGCTATACTTAAAACTAGGTACATTAAACTTTATAACATTTTTTACAGATTATTTCTATCAGAAATACAAATAAAGTTATAAATTATTTAAAGTGCACACGAACTTTATGGACACACTGTATATGAGCAGACAGGGCTTTTCAACCTTGACTGGCAAGCAGGTTAGAATAACAAAACCTCTGAAAGCAAAATCATTTGGCCATGGGTATAGTAATTCCATCACTTTATTACCACAGTAACAAACATATTGTGTGTTGAGACTACTACCCCATACTGCACAGTTACAGTAAACAGGATATGAGTGAGATAAGCAATATATGATATATGAAAAAAAAAATTAATACATCTGTTAACTAAAAGAATTTCCAGATACTTATTAAAATGAAAAATCATGTCTTGTTTCTTTTTCAGGAAAATGGTGAATTGAAAACAAACTATAACAGCGTTGATTTAACAGAAGTGGAACTCACAACAAATGTTAGTGAGGTATGTAGATTAAATTGATGGGTATTGGCATTTCTAACAGCTCTAAACCTGAAGAAAATGATGTCTCACTCGGAACATCAATTTTTTTTTGGGGGGTGGTGGATGTGCAGCTAACAAATCAGAAAGAGAAGTTGGTGTGACAATTTCAAATTCCATCTGAGTTCATTACAAAAATACCCTTGGGAAAAGTATGAATCCATCTCTTTGGAAGTGTGGCTACCATAATAATTACTGGTGCAGAAAGTAAATTTGGTATGCCAAGTTCAATTCCTACTTGGTACTGTTTAATTCACTTGCCTTAATGCCTTGAGAAAAAGCATTAATTTTCTACCAGCTGTCAGTTAAAGAATAAACTGAGCTCTCTTTCCCTGAGTTGGCAACCAATCTTGGAGAATGAAAACCAGTCTGAAGAGGGTTACTGTCCATAAAGCTATCATGCCCATCTCACCACTGATTCTATGGCTGTGCTATCAGTGGTGCCCTGATGACCCTAATGGGTTAAAGGACTTTGTGACATGACAAATTATGGAGATTAAACAACTAAAAATGTCTGGATAAACCAGCTAATAAAAAAAAATGAAAGCAAGATGGAACTTCAAACACTACTGCACAGACACAGCAAAAGCATTAAAACTAATTTAGTTCCATAATATTCACCTGAGCACAATGTGGAAGAAACATTTTACTCCAGTTGATTTTGTGAGTCTAATTAAGAATACAGATTTCCATCTGCAACCTGAGCATCTAATTAAAGTCATCCACTATGAATTTGTTTTCTCTTTTTTTGTCAAGCTATGTCCCTTAAAAATGTAGGTGATCATGGCTCTACATAGACTCCTTTTTCTTTAATATCTGTGAATTGACTTACAACCACATCAAATTGAAACACCAGTTCCCGTAAGATCACCAAAGTTAAGCAATGTCAAGCCTGGTCAGTACCAAGTTGGGTTACTGTTTGAATACCATGTGCTCTAAGCTTCGATGTGCAGGTAATTAATGGATAATTGCTCAGAATTGTGAAGCAGAGAGCCAAGTTCCAATTCCTGTTGGGTTCGTTATATTCACTTACATGAAAGGCATGAGTAAACCTCTTCTCCTCCTAGCTACGGGTTAATTATTTTTTTTAAATTCTTACAATCTGAAATATTTTCTTTAAATAGTCTGCGAAGGGTTGATAAGCACTAAAAAATGAATCAATAAATCTATATCTGCGAATTACCACAACATCTTGAAAAAGATAGTGGAGTGATTTCTATGGTTTGAATTGATAATAATCTTTCTCCGAGATTGGCTACCACCCAAGGCTAGACAGCCAAATGTACCCTACTATTTAACACATATCTGGAAGTATAAGAAATGGATTCATACCTTTCTGAAGAATAATAATAGTAAGGTCCTGGTGAAAATGAAGTGCGACACCAAAAGAAAACCCAACAGACTTGGCCAAAATTTGAACTTGAGTCCTTAAATTCTACTTCTTGCACTATTACATTACCATATATCCTACAATATAAATACTTGAGTTAAAATCCTTTGTCAAAATTCGATAAAGGATTTTAGCTCAAAATCAAAATATCAGTAAAAATATTTAAGAATTCAAATTTTTATTGAAGTTAAAAAAAATGCTTCTTTTTTTTTCTTTTACTACAGGTGAAAATTCTGGAAACAGCTATGGTTGATGGGCACCATGGAAGTATTTCTATGAATGTTGTTAAACATGATAATTTTGTAAGTAACATTTTCTGTACTTATACATATCAGGTTGGAATAAGAGTCTGTAGTGTTTTTCAATAGATAAGATTTGGACACCTGATTTAGTTTCACACATGATTGAAATTTATGGCATATACAGAAGTTTAACATATCTTTTGATGATTTATATGTGGATTATGAATTGTAAATGTTTTTCAGTTAAAAGTGAAAATGGATGAAAATGTAATGCATTTTCATTTGATGCTCTTTATTTCCAGAAAGGAAAAAACTATGTAGAAAAAGCAAAAAATTATGTGCCATTTATGAAGATGGTACCATAGCTAAGAGTTTTTTTTTAAGCAATGATGTTCACCCTGTACAATGCCCAATAGCTACTCGAGGTAGTGAGTTACAGAGTAAGAGGCACAGCTTATGAGCAAGATTACGGTTAACTCTAAACTTGAACAGGTTAAGATAGTAGTGATTGGGAAAGTAACCTCTTAGGAGTCAGTTCATGAGAAGAAGCTGTTTGAGCAGAACTTACACCTCACCATGGGAACATGAAGGGAATGATGGTGGTTCACTACAATGTGCATGGACAGTTCTTAGCTGTGAAGGTTAGGACTGGTGGAACTAAGGAGTCTATTTCATCTGAACACTTTCCACAAAGCTTCACAAATGAATATGCACTACCTCTGACACAACACATGTTAAGTTGGTAGTCCAGCTCCTGCCAAACATACTGTAGCATGTATTGTGTAACATTCTCCATTGCACCAGTGCGGACTTATCTCAATGAGAAGCTACTAAGAAGATGGCTCAGGCATGCCAGTGATAACAGTGTGCTGTTGAAATGACCATCACATTCACCTGACTTGACACCTTGGGATATTTTTTCTATAGAGCTACGTAAAAAGAATTGATCTATATCACCCTTCTTCTTACAAGCCTAGAGGAAGTTAAGCACTATAAGTTTGACAGGAACTGGACTACTGACTTGACGTGTGTCATGTCAAGGTGATGTGTATATTGAACATTTGTGAAGCTTTGTGAATTCAGTTATAGAATCTACATCCCTTTGAATATCTTGTTCAAATTTTGATAGATAAATCTTTTATTGTTTGACATCAAGCCTATTTAATTTTATTTGCCAGGAACATGTAGTTACAGTTACATTTTAAATTATATTTATATTTATTAGCATTACAACAAAAAGGAAATGTATATGTACAGTATATTTAATCTCTTCTTCAACTATGCTATGCACATATACAAGCACAAATGTGAAGAAATGGACACTGATCATTTAAGCATTCTATACCATGTCCCAAATGAATCTACTTATAGAAAACTGTTCTGTTTTCTCCCCCAAGGTCAGTGTAAATATGATGACATAGGTGTTCATAGTTTGGATAAGAATGCTCATGAATAAACAATCAACATTCTCTACAAAGTGTTCCAAGAAGTAGGAATCAAGATAAACCTTTCCAAAACAGAAAATATGATCTGGAATTGGAATGAATGCAGTAATAGTACTGTTATATAGGAATAAAGTGCCACTGTTGACACTAGAGTTTGAACACAGATCACCAGAGAGCAAACACAGATGATCCCATTTTGAATAAGTAGATCACATGATGGTAAAGAAAATGTATATATGGGAATTAGTGTAGCATCTAAGTGATCACTATATGGATTGTTATTCAGATCACTATTCAGTGGTTACTTTTAGAGCGAGTATTATCATGCAAATACTATTAGTGCAAATGTTATTCAAAGACGTCTGACACCAGTATTGTTCAACAATGTTACTATTATTGTATCTGCAACTACAAAGCATTATGAAAATGTCAAGTATTTTTTGGCATTACAAAAGTGATAACAAGTGTTCATTGACATCACAAAAAGCACATACCCTGAATTGATGACAAAAATTAGGAAAGTAGAATTAATAAATACTAAATACTTCAAATGCTTCAGTGTATGGATCAGTTATATAACAAATTTAGTATAGGAGGTAAGGGAATTAATTTAGAATAGCCTGTACTATGGATAGTTTTTCTCAACACTGCAAGATTCTACAAAACCAAAACATTAACCAAAAAAAATAAGTCATGTTCTTGAATAATCTCATTAAATCAAGACTTTCATACAGATGTAATGCATGGTGCCAAACTCATTAAGTCAAACTGTCAGCTGTATACAAATGCTTTCCCAGATCAATGGCAAAAAATTGCTTCCAATGAATGAAATCTGTAGGTTTTAGTGAGGATTATCCTCATTCCAACCTCATGGACTGACACGACAGAGTCACAAACAGATAACTGTTTCAAGTAACAGAAACCACATTATCTGAGGACTTTGAATAGCAGTAACAATTAAACTGGATAGCACATGTAAATTGGAGAAAAAATAATTTCATAATCAAGGTGCTGATCCTTCACACTACTTCAAACAAAAGGTTAGGAAGGAAGCCCCCATCAACACTGGAAAGAGCAATAACAGTGACTGAACTTGAAAAATCTATTTTCCTTAAAAATTGTTTGAATAGAAAGATTTTGTTTTTAGCCAACAGTCACACCAACTATTCAGTCAGTGAAGGCTGAATATTTGCTTATAAGGAAACAAATGATATTACCATTATCATTTAGTTATTTCTGCTGTTGAAAGTCCTCAAATGATGTGGTTTTTGTAACTTAAAACAGTTTTATATATATATAATTATTTTATTTTATTTTCAACATCATCACTTGATAAGACACAGAGTGTGTTGAAACAAAATGGCTATTTTTGTAGTGATTTTATAACATACTTATGTTATAATTTTTTTTATAAACAATAATTATATCTGCTCTACTTTGTATTGAGCACTCTTTTAAGAATAGTAATTGTTGGTTATTGGAATTCATTCCGTATATACCAATTATATACTTGTGTATATATATATATATATATATATATATATATATATATAGAAACAATTTATACAAGAATTAAATAATGTTAATGTGATTAATGGAAATCACTTTGCTAACAGGACTTAATGAGATATTCCTGTTAGCAAAGTGTTTCACCATTAATCACATTAAAATTGCTATTTAATTCTTTGTATGAAGTGTTTCTTTATGATATAAAATATAAGCTGCACATTCTAATATATATATATATATATATATATATATATATTGTGCATACTACAGTTCAAAAGTTTGAAAACCACCTCCAGAATTAACATGGGATGAAAAAAAATGAAAAAATCTCTTAGAGTCATTGAGAAAAGAATGGAATCAATTACCAAACTTATACTTTGAGAAACTTTGGCAATGAATGCCAAAAATTTGTGCTGCAGTAATCAAAGCTAAATGAGGATATTTTGACAAGAGCAAAATTTAAGTATAAAATGCTTTCTTCTTTTTGTCATAATAAAATTTCTAATAAAAAATCATGTCTCACTTTTTTTTAACCATGTATCATAATTTTCTCTTATTTGAAGTACAAAACAACTACTTTTTGGGCCAATTTAGAAAATTACCAAAGTTTTCCTCAAACTTTTGAACTGTAGTGTATGTGTGAATATATATATATATATATATATATATATATAGAGAGAGAGAGAGAGAGAGGGGGGGCATGGTGGAGTAGTGGACAGCAGCTTGGATTGAGGAATTCCAGTTGAACCATTACATTCACTTGTGTGCTAAGGTAAGGTGGGAAAGGTATTAATCCTCTTCTCCCTTCAGCTGTGGTTAAATAGCTGGCCATGGATGGCAACTGGTCTAGGAGAAGGATAACTCTGAATTCAAGACCTGCAGAGAGTTGTTTGGGGACTTGGTAGCACATGGTGTCACAAGATCCCCCAAAATTGTGGTTGGTTCTGCACAAAGCCTTCATCGTTATAGCTAAATCATGTGCTGGTGTCTGGGCTGTCAGTTCCTAGAAACTGAGCTGTTTGAGCCTCATATATTGCGAAAGTCCACCATATATATATATATATATATATATATATATATAATGGTTATATTGGCCCAAAAGTGTGGTTGGTTCTGCACAAAGCCTTCACTACTATAATCAAATCATATGTGCGGGTTGTTAGTTCCTAGAAACTGAGCTGATTGACCCTCATACATCAGGAGAGTCCACCATATATATATATATATATATAATGGTTATGTAATAAATAATTTCCATTTATACATTTATGTTGCAGCAGTAAACACAGACATAAAACTGGACTACATTCTTGTGAGGACTTCTAAATTAATGACCATCATTAAAAATTAATGTTTATGACTACTTGATGGTAATTGTTTATATTAAAAATATAAAAACAAGACATTTTTAAGTCATGATTTTTCAGTAATTGGAAAAGAAATCCTGTAAAAAAGTACATGATTTTAATTTCCAGCTTCAAAATTATAATTAATCAACAAAATAAAGATTTGGTTTAGCTGTCCTTACAGACACAGAGTGGTAGTTCATTTTAACATCCTAATTACATTGTAAATTGAAACCCTAATTAAAAATGTAAATATTTTTTAAATTATCACAAACTAATATCTTTAATAACCACAGAAAATTTTTGGCTGTAACAATCTTTGAGAGTTATATAATGTCAGACAAAAAAGACATTTGATGAATCATAGTAAAATACTGGCCTCACTATCTTTAATAATACATTCAGGTTTCACTGAGTGCTCTAGGAATGTGGTCTCTTGACTTAAGAAAATCAATAAGTTAGCTCTACAGTATAATCAATAGATATTTGGCACAGGTATCATAAAAGGAAATTGGACTTCACACCTGAGACATTTGAAAACAAAGATTTTCTTCATAGATCAGAATAAATTTGACTTTGTATGACATCGACTTAATGAATATAAAATGTAAAAATAACCTGGGCACTGTCATAACAAGCAACAAAAATAAAATGATAATGTCAGTGATTACATTATTTACATTCAGATTATTATCTTTACCTTTGTTGTTGTTATCACTATGTTTTGACCATTGGACACTCCAGCCTTCTTCAGGTGATT